CTCCAGTCTTTAGAAATATACATTTACATTTTTTCCCAAATGGTGATTGGCAGAATCAAGATCTAGTAAACCACTGAAGCTTCAAAAGTCGCCCCCCCCCCAAACAATTTCTGTAAATTCTTTGTAAATATTCAGATTAACATAAATGTTAGCTAATCAGATGTTTCGTTAATTTTTTTTTTGAAGTAACTGACCATTCAGAAAGATCTTCTTTTGGGGGGGCCCTCAGAGCCTCCCCAGATTACATCATACTGAAATGTTGAGGCAGAATAGCAATTCTTGATGATATATTTTTTTAGAAATGACTTAAGGTATATAAACACATTCAGCCTCACCCATTCTTCTGTGAATTAAAGCCCCGTCCTCCAAACTGAAAAAAAGACAGGTTCCACCCACTCCATGTCCCTGCAGCCCTTGAAGGCTAAAAGTAGTAGATTCAAAGAAAGGGAAACCTCAGGCAAAGTTTCCTAACATCATGTGGAACTGGAGGAATACTATCATAATTTTTAAAAAAATATTACCAGTGCACAAACAAAGGTCCTTCAACTACCATACCTGTTTCTTAAGATCAGCCACTTCTGCAGAGGTTTCATTCCATAACTCATATGGAATGTCCATCACTACTTTTACTCCTTTGTGCACCAAGTTATGAAGAGTTTCAAATGTCTCAGATATACCCTAAAATAGAGTGAATAAAGAATATACTTTGAAAACACCAAGACTGCCAAAGGAAAGTGAGGAACAAGTAATGCAAGTTAATGCTTGTAAAAATTATGCAATAAATGCTAGAAGAATTCTAAGTTACAAACCTTCGCAAATCTGTTGCTTCCTGATCTTTCTTTATGCAAATTATACTCCAAAAGCCTCTTGCAGATGTTTTCTGTCACTTCGATCAGTCGAATGTCACTGCAGACAGAAAAGAATGCTGGGAAATTAAATAGCATTTCTGGATGTCTATTATTTCAACTATGAAAATGAAAACTCAGGTTGCTTTAATTATGGAGAACAAATGGCCAGTTTAATCTTCCATTTGCTACCTCCACTTTTTTTGTCTGCCAATGCTATGGCACTTTACTTTGTAATTCATGTTTTAGCATTTTGTTTATACCTCAATCCATTCTCAGGATTCCTCTGTGAATCCTGAGGGAAAAGCCAAGATTTGTTGCATTTCTCAACAACCTTGTTCCACTTACGATTTTGTGTACTTGATTTTGGATCCCTTGCCATCCAGAAAGCCATATTTTGTGTCAATCACCTCCTTGGTCTTGCCAGTTTCATCGAAGGAAGTCTTCAGTTCCAAAGCAACATACTTGCAAACTAAATACAGTCAAAACTCAAAACAATTAGTAATGGTAATTGTGACTGCTGATCTGCTGTATTACAAATGTTGCTCAATTTTCCACTAGCTTATGGCAATGAACATTCTGTAAAGCAGTTGAGTAGCCTCACTACTCCATTTGCAAAACTTAATGACTTGCTATGCATGGATATAATGAAAATTCACATACACATAGTACTAAACTCTTTATACCATGCATTGCTCTATGCTACCCAGAACCACATTTTTTGAAATTAGGCAACCACAGAAATTCTTTACATAATAAAACAAACATACATTTGCTGTTCCAATAAGCTCACACAACTAGCTTTGCTGAACTCATTTTTTCAGTCTAAATTCAGTTTGCTTTCTTTACACTGCAATGCTACCTACTTTAAAAACCTTAAAAACTCACACCTAGGGGCTCATATTTCTTTCTGTTCCTCTTTTCTTTTTTACTCATCTGGCCCTATTTTAGTGACAACATTTTTTCAGATCCTTTTTCCATTCTATTAATACCATAGCATTTTTAACTAAAACCCCCAGCCTTCTTTGAAAAACAGCCATTTAACGGTTATCATTCGCTATAGTAATAAAGTCCTGTCATATAATTTATTTTATTTGCTAACATTTATATCTGGTGTACTTTTAAACTCTCCAAGCAGCTAATAGGCTGCAATATAAAAAAAAAACATAATGATGAGAATGTTATCCCATCATTCCCAGATTAAAATCATTTATTTTACACCTCCCAAATAACTTTGTGGCACTAATGTCATTTCATTAGTTATTACATTAGTTGCCTTGTGGAGAGATCAGCAGCAAACAAATGTAATAACTACATTTGAAGTATATATACATTTCCTCATATTAGGAGTTTCTAAACACAATTACTCCCTACTCCCTATTTTGTTGCCTGCCCCATCCCGTAAATCTATTGTACTATCTCACTATATGTTACTCTCATGATTACAACTTAAAAATAACTAGCAGTTAGGAGGAGGTATTGATCTAGTGCTGCCGGAGAGAAATATATTATTTTATATCCAAACATTGTTTCACCTTCAGAGCACTGTAGCATTTTAAAGACAAGAACGTAATCAATACCGTAATTTTCGACAAAAGGAAGACAAGATCAGTGCTCCATTCATTCTGGGACTATCCTTGCAAAAATCTTTTAACTGTCTTGTGGTGCATTGGTATCATCCTCCTAGCTGGACTTTACTAGACAAACTTTGCCTCATCTAAGTTTCCATTGAAATAACCGCCGCTACAGATTCGAGACTTTTCATCCACTCCTTCCAGATCCCATCAGTACTCCTGAATCCAAGCTCACCTTCGCATTTATTGGGTAGTTTAACCCAGTCGCTGTCATCAGCGACGGCTCCCCGCAGCCCAGCCGGAACCAGCAGCAAGACCAATAAAGCACCGACGCCCGAAGCCATCGAGGACCCCCCCTTAAGGTTGCCACGCCGCCACAGGCACAACAGCCGCACGAACTAATACTCATAATCCACCCTCCGCTTCCGGGACCCTCCTCTTCTAATGTAACTATAACAACCAGCTGTACCAACCAATTGCGGCCACAGTCGTGGCACGTTCCAACGGACGGCTCGGATTGCTTCGCTTGCCAGCCAATCGAAGACTCACATAGCGCTCTCATTTCTCCAATAAGCGTGCTCTGTCCTCCTCTTTCTACCCTTGAAGTGCTACCCTCCTTACTCTCTGATTGGCCGGTCTGATTCCGTCCCCGTTTGTTACGCTCACCCCATTCGTTAGAGAAGACGGGATGAATGGGTGGGAACGAAGTGCTTGCTTCCTGATTGGTTCCAGGGCATGTTGAATGAGGTACGGTGCTGTACAGTAGTAATGTTTGGTGTGCTTTCTTTATGAGATTCAGGTTTCACTTGTCATAGAGAAGATTTGGAGTAGATGGACCTTCCCTTGCTTCGTGCTTCTAACTAGAATTGGCCTGAAGAAAATGATAATGGCACTAAATGAGAATTCTGGGAGTTGTAGTTCAACATATTTAACAGGCATGCTATTTGGAAATAGGCTCCGGACATTTTGCTGCTGAGGCTGAGCAAAAATTGGCACCTCTTAAACAAATACTATGCAGACCAAAATGTTGCCTAAAATATTTTGAAATTGTTATTTCCTGGCAGTACAAATGCTAAGGTGACCAACTTTTTTACAAGGAGGAGAACACAAATTGAAGAAAAAAAACAAAGCCACTTGCGCGTGGCACACTCAAAACAATTCTCTGTGGAGCACATGCGTCTCATAATCGCGTCTCGCCGCACTGTACCGAGCCTTGACGAATCATCATGTCAAATACAAATAGGTCACATTACACACAACGGATTGGATCGGCATCGATCAAATACGGAGATTTACAGATTAGTCTTCAAATATCAAAAAGGAGGACGTGTAGGAGGACACTTTTCGAGAGAGGACAGAACTTACAAAAGAAGCAAGGGAGGACAGTTGGTCACCTTACAAATGCAAAAGCAGAATGGGGTTACAATTTGCTGGTGTTCACTGGGAACTGCCTAAGACAGCTGCCTCATTCTGCTTTGGAGTCCTGCAAATGGGCACCCTCCAAATATATAGGACCAATTCCCACAATTGATTCTCTCTGCTGGATAGATGAATAGGGAAGTGGAAGATAAAGTGCAACTATAAGACATCCAGTGTGGGAAAGCTCATTTACAAATATGCAATAGGACAGTTGTACATTCTACTAAGCAATGGTGCTTTTTCTTACATAAATTTGTAAATAATTACAATCTTGATTATGTGCCATCAAATTGTTATCGACACTTAGTGACCACATGGAACCATCTCCATGATTATTTTTAGCCTGGTCCTTTAGTTCTTCCAATAGTGTCCTATGTTTCCAGTGAGTATCCATCTTGCTGCTGGTTCTTTTTCCTTCCACCTTTCTTAATAGAAACATGGGTGTTCAGTTTTATCAGTATGGCTACAATTGGGAAAGATTTAATAAAATTTCCCCTTACCTTGAAGTCTTCACTCTGCTTAAAACTACACACCTCAAAGTTTCAGCCCTTTATTTCTAGAGAGACAAAAATTTCTAGGGATCAGATGGTATTGCATAATTCCATTCTGATACCCCATCCTCATCTGTGAAACTTTTGTTTGTGCTGCAGAATACAGTATAGATCACCTGTGGTCTACTTCCCATCTCTCTTCTATTCCCACACCATACATATTCCATTTTAGTTATTCCACCAAAACTGGAATAACTAAAAGCTACTCACATTGGAACTGTCCATACAGTACTTATTTCCCACAATATGCTTTCCCCTCTTTCTCTCTTTCGGTTTCTTTCTGCTTTTGCATGCTTTGTCTCATTTTTCTAGCTGTTTTGTAATAAACATCAAGCTCTATTTTTGTTAGCTGAACTACGTGGTGTGCATGGTTGCTCTGATCTTGCCATATGGACTGACAGACTAATTATCCAATGCATTTAAGAAGAAATCATTGAGTTCAGTGAGTTTTTAATATAAATATACATTGGATTGAATTGTTAGTCTTTCATCACTTGATGATAACACAAAAGATGATCAAACATTTTGTATGTTATTAACTTCAAGAACTTTATAAAGTTCCCTTCTCCATTTCTCCAATTCTTAGGATGCTCCCTGCAAAATGGCTCATGAAAAGAAAAACACCTCAAGCAAGGATATCAAAGCTTTTATTGAGAGAGAAAAAAGCACCAATTAACAAAGCATCCATCTCCACCCCAAGGGAGTAAGGGAACCCACAGAATGGAGAAAGGGGAATGCTAGCTGGGAAATTCTCAGAGTTGGTCCATATATCTTAGAGTTGCTGAGATTGAGAAACACTACCTTAATTCATGCTAGTCTTTTTTTAAAACTTCCACATAAGCCTGAAAAAAAGATGATGATGATGATGCTTTAATGAATCAGAAATGGTTTAATAAATGATTAAGGTAGCACATTTTAAATTCTTACATTGCATTAATCCTGATGATTAAGCAGCAACATGGAATCAGTCCGATGTGTCTTGAGGCCATCACATGCAGAGTTCCCATTGATTAAAAGTTTTATCAAAGATTGCCTCCGTCATCCAGTTGCTGGAACTTGGGAGTTAATAACTGAATACTTCCTTATGACTGGAATTCTGAATGGACATCACAAAATGATAGGATTGGACCTCAAGTGTGCCGTAAGCTACCTTGTGCTACATTCATAGCATATCTGATAAACAGATGACCAATTTCAGTTCATTGCTGTTTGAGGCAGTCTGTTCCAGATTCCTTGAAGCATTTCATGCATTGAAAAATGTTAGCAGTTCTTTTCATGTTTCTTTTTAATAATTTGAGTTTATAGTAACAATGCACTACAGTTTTGCTTATCTTTTGTAAAGGATGCAGCAGGTCATCAGTACATTAAACATTAGGAACTTGAACAGCAAAGTTCTGATGGCCAGAAGATGTAATTCTTGTGTACGATTATGCAGAATTTCAGTAGACAACATCTCTTCCTCCACTATTATAAAAAGCAAACAAGAACCATATTATAGAGCAATATTTGTAGCAAATACTCAGACATTTTTGGTCCTGATATACTCAAATGAAAATTTTGGTGCTTTTATTAACTATCTCTTTGAACTTACTTTAAACTAGAAGTTCAGAACCAGGATGTATTACTGTACAGTAAATTGTTAATGTGTGTCACTACAGTTTTACAAGTCATTTGTTCTGTTGGTTGAAAAATCATAAATATTATTTTAAGCTGTTTGTTCAGTTACTTTAGTCTCATAGAAATCATGTAAACAAAAATATAGTATTCAGACATGCAACATTCTGATAACATTCGGTGAATTAGTTAAACTTCAATAGGTTTTATTTGGATTGATTATTTATTCAATTTATTTATTTATTCAAACTCAACCGATTCTGGGCAGCTTACAATTGTAAAATTATAAAACAATTTAAAAAAATTAAAATGATTAAACATCCACAAAATCAATAAGTACAAATAGCAGCTGTGGTGATTAATCAACTAATAGTAAAACTAAGCAATGGGACCCTTAACACATTCCAAGCCCAGGCCTGGGTACACAATCAAGTTTTTACAGCTTTGCAAAAAGCCAACAGGATTGGGGCCATTTTAATCTTTGAGGGGAAAATATTCCCTAAGGCAGGACTACATTTAAAAAGGCTGTCTTCTAGTCCCTGGCAGCTGACACCCTTTGGCTGACAGGATCTACAGCAAGCCCAATCTGTTGGATTGGATTGGATGGATAGAAATTTGTAGAAAAGGACAGTCACTCAGGTAACCCAGTATCAAGCTACGTAGGGCTTTAAAGGTGATAAGCACCTTGAATTACACCCGGAAACACACCAGCAGGTAGTGCAGCTCGTGGAATAATGGTGCTACATGTGCCATATAGTCGGCACCATTTATGCAGCCATATTTCCACCAGTTGAAGTTTCTGAATGCTCTACAAGGACAGCCTTTCTGTTGACTGAAAAAAGGTAGAGCATTATAACAATGATCAAATGAATGGTCCATAGAAAATGATCAACTGAAGCAAACTCCTCTCTGGAAACTGACTCTCTAACTACTTGGAACTTAAGGAAATATTCTGTGTTTACCTCCTTGATTTTCATACAGGCATAGATCATCCATATGTTGCTCCTCTGGAAAAAAATAATAGTATGAAACATTATTTTCTTGAATCCTTAAAGCTTCCAAGTAATTCATGTTTTTAGTAAAGTTAATGAACAGATTGATTTTTAACAGCATTCTCTTCATCTAGATTTTAGGACTTGTGTGGAGAATAGATCATGTTTTACATAATATTTATGCATAAATATTGAAAAGTCAGAAGACTTCACAAACTTTTAAGCACCCAATTCAGTTATTAGCGTTAACCGATATATCTATTTCTGGTCTGGCCAACCCTAATAAAATTGTTATTTATTTATATGGGGCCAACATGCACAAATTAATTTATTACTTTATATTGAGAAGCAAAGCCCCGGTGTGTTTGGTTTTTGCTTGTTTTGTGAATTCAGGCGCACTTGTAAGCAATAATTTTATGACTCAGCATGACATGCTAAAGTAGTCAACTCTGTATTATTTAATAAACAATCATTAAGTCAGAGTTAATCCAATTTGACTAATTGCAATAATATTATACTTTAATGTATTTTTTACTCTTAAATATTTCCTTCCCCCTTTGATAAATACCAGAGATTTGTAGAGAGGTAGTGTTCCATATTCTTGAGTTTTGATTTTGTGCAACCGAGCAAATGACAATATCCCATGATTCAAATTCTTTGCTGGGTATGGAAATTTGTGCGATTGTGCTGAAAGAGCCATCTTCTTCCTTGAAAATGCCATAAGTATAAGAGTCCAACATGGTCCCATTTCCATTGGAAAACCAAATTACTCCTAGTGAGTTCTCAGAGAAGTCATTCACCAAACATATAAACAGGGTCTTTCTTTCACCATTTATTTCCAGATAGAGTGGTGGTGTCAGAGTTGAAAATAGACCTAAGGAGTGGTGACCTGTTATTCAAAGAAATGGTTTATTATAAAGATGCATGCACAAAATTAGTTTAGAAGACTGTTTTCCCCTATGGAAATAATAGTGCATTATTAAGATTATTGTTGTTTTTGGAGGTTCACTAGGATTTATCTCTTTTTCCATAAAAATATAGTTCCTTCCTTTCCTTCTCCTTGTACTGTCACTTATCTTCATTCACAGAATTTTTACATTGTCTTATTTATGTAACTCACCTATGTTTTTCCAATTGATTTTCTTTTTTTTTTCCCAAAGAAGTTTTTAAAAATTTACTCACATGTCAGAAGCTGGAAAACTGCAATGATCAAGAGATGCCCAAATGGCCTCCAGGCCAGGTTCACTTGGAAAGCCCACAGCATCATTTCAAGGAGCAAGGATGCTTCTGAAAATGTGTGTTGTAACTGACAAACTCAACTGAAGTTCTTTCTGACCACTGTTTTCCTTTCCCATTGGTAACAGCTGCACAGCTGCTTGGCAAAAACCTCAAAGTTTTTGCTTAAGTCACTCTCCTTTTTTATATTTTCAAAATGGCTTGTCTCTTTGTATTGCCATTGCCACAAACAAATTTTGCATTAGTATTAAAAAGTAACTGTATCTGAAGCATGAAGAGATGATAAAAACACCTGTACACATACACATCACATTTATTTATTGATTTTAACTATCTCAAACTGTCCCTGGACAGTATGTATATATACTGACTGTTAATGTATCATCAACTCATTTTTTTTTATTCTGTGACCACACAGATGGATTTTGTCCATGACATTTTGCCCCTAACCCAGTCTTCCTACTGTGCATTTGTCATCACTGTAATTGAGTCCATCCAGTTGGCTGCTAGTCGTCTTCTTTCTTTCCTCCTTTCTTAGCATTAGAGTCTTTTCTATAGAGCTAGATATCTGCATAATATATCCAAAGTAGGATAATTTGAGCCTGGCCATTTGTGCCTCAAGTGAGAACTTGGGGTTGCTTTATTCAGTGATCTATTGGTTTGTTTTCTTGGTTGTCCACATATTCTCAGGAATCTTCTCCAACACCAAAATTCAAAAGCACCAATATTTTTCAGTCAATATCTTCTTCAATGTCCACAGTATATACTTACACAACACACCTACAGTTTTTTTTTAAAGCAAAGTGTAATTAGCATCTCTCACAGGTTTTAGAACATGTTAACATCTGTTGGGAGTAATAGGGAAGACAACTGGAACAGGTTTTGTAACTCTTTAAAACAACAAACTTTCTTGAATCAGACTCATTGTCTTTAGTTTCAAGGAACTGTCTTGAAATAGGCAATATGTGGACTTCATTGGGGAGAGTAATAAATACAGGGAATGCTAAAAAGTGACCAGATTTTTTAATGGTAATTTCTTAGGTAATTCTATTTAATTCTCCTGTGTCACTATTGTCAAGGCACTTAATAATGTAATCTGTGGTCCATTCACATATTAATATTTGAAATGCTACAATATTCTTGGTGGTTTTTGCAAACAACTAACTCAGCCAAAAGTAAAGCCAAGTCAGCTCTGCTACTTGTGACTTCGTGAATTATTTATTCATTTTATATAGCTGTCCACTCCATATTCATGACTCTGGGATGCTTCCAATTAAAACATAAACAGTACAAATATATATAAAGCAAACATACAAATAACCCAAAATGAACATATCTATGTACTGTAGTTTGGAGATAACTGATTCGAGCTGTAAAAAAAATCAGAAGCATCTTGGCAAATGTAAAAGTAATTTGTCACTGCTGCCTTCTGGGATTTTTTTAAAGCCTGAAACTTTGATCATGTTTCTTGCTTTCTCATCCAAGTTCTAAGAAGGACCCATCCCACTTGCCTTTTCACACCAGACTACCTCTCTGGAAATTCATATGAACTGTAAATTAGGGTTAAACTCCGCGTTTTTCAAACTTGACAACTTTTAAAATGTGTGGACTTCAACTCCCAATGCTGACTGGGGAATTCTGGGAATTGAAGTCCATACTTCTTAGAATTGCCAAGTTTGGAAGACACTGCGTTAAACTTATGAATAAATATCAGACCTGGGCTGTCAAAAATCCGCCCCCCCCCCCCAATATCTTTCAAAAGTTGGCCTAATATACTTCGATTTCTGCCAGTGCCAAAGGCCTTCAGAGGAAAGAAAGCCTTATTTCTCGTTAACGAAAGAGGCCCAGAACCGAATAGCGCCCAGTTGCAAGTTGTGATATTTCCCCGCTAATAAAACGATCTTGGTATGGCCTGTCCTCATTCTCCCTCTTGGCTGCCTTAATTGCAACTTCCGGGAAGGATTCCGTAAAGCGGGCGGGATTTCGCTTTTTTTTTTTTTGGGGGGGGGGGGGGGGGAAGAGTTTGGCACTGAAGGTCTTTTTTTCTCCCGGAGCCTCTCTTTCTGGAATGGGTAAGGCGGAAGGGGCGCGTTGCTTTTGAACAGACTGGCCGGGAAAAATCTGACCGATGCGGGGTTCTGTAGGGCAACAGGAAGGTTTCTCTGGCTCTTCGAAGTTCCCGGGCTTTTAGGAAGCGATGGGGGGGGGGGCGGGGGGGGGGCTGCTTTGCAGTAATCACGCTATTCACGACACGGGGAACGGGGGGGGAGCGATCCCTGAAGGAAATGGTATCCGGCATGTTCAGCCTGAAAGTCCGCGGAGCTGTCGCTTTTTCGAAGCACCAAACCAAAGCGATCACAAAGCGGGTGGCACATCGAGTCCTCGGCCCCGTTCCTCACGAATGACGGGAAAATCCGCCCAGGATGACTAAATGCACTCAAATGAAGGAGTGATTTGCGCCAGAGCCCCGGGACTACTTGGGAAGAAGCCTTTTCGCGGGAGGCTGGCTGTTCATTCTCAGGGTTGAGGGTGGTGGTGGGGGTCAAAGGTGCGGCCAAAGGCAAAGCTGGCAAAAATCCCATTTCTCCCCGTGTTTAGGGACGCGCCTGAGGTTTCCACTAAGAACCGGGTGATCAGTGTTGTGGATTAGCCTTCCGAAGAAATGGAATCTGCTATAGCGGAGACCGCAAGTGGGTTTCCCAGGGCAGGAAGTGACAGCAAGGAAGAGGGGCAGAACAGCCCTGCCGACCCACCTCCTGCTCCAGATACCTCTGTGTCATTTTCAGAAATGCTTCACCTGATCCAGACTGGACAGGACATCCCTGGACTCCAGAAGTTAAATATCTCTGCCACGAATGGGAGTCCAACACCATCACAGATGACTCAGAAACCCAAGCCTTGGGAGACAAAAGCTTGACCAAGTGGTGGAGTTGGAAACTTGAATGAGAGATTTAGCACTCTATTGGATATTAAATAAATATCTTGGCCTTTCAGTTCTAAAATGATTGAGGGTACTGTTAAAAATAACAGTTTGTTTCAGTGAAAGCCAATATCCAAAGATGATTTCTGTGTTGTTATATATTCATACCTGCATGTGTGTCTTTCACATTCTTTTGCTAGATATAGGTGAGGCAAGGAACTTAAAAGTTTCTACTCTTAACTGGGCTCAAATTTCTCACTTATCATAAGGTGGTTTGTTTAGTTTTGGCTTAATGTGGTGTGTGAAGTAAAATGAATCACATATTTCACAGACCGTGGCTTATGAAAATAATTGAAATACATAGAATTAAACATAACTGTAAATATTTGGGTTTTAGTTTGGTCTCAAAATACAAGATCTTGATAGCAAAAATAGAGAATGTGTGACCTGCCAGATGGAGCCCAACATTCCCACCATTTTGAGCATATTTGACTGAGTACAGCAGCCAGTAGATTTCCTTCACTAGCTAAGTTCATAGGGGAGACGAATGCTATAAACATAAAGTCTCAAGATTCTGAGATTGTAGTGTGCATATATGCGTATGTGTTTAATTTAAAAAAAACTGTAATAAACATGAAAAGAAAAGCAGTAAAAAAGTGCAAAGAAATAAATAGAGAAAAAAAGACAAAAGTTATATAGAACAACTTCTGGTCTTCTTAACAATAATTACAAGTACGTTTATATTTTACTCTATGGTTGTAACATAAATTCTTTCTTTCCATAGTTTATTCTTTCTAAACCCTTAAATCACAAGTTCATTTTTTTCTTTCTTTCAGCAAAAAGTCCACAGCAGGTTTTCAGTATTAATAAATGTAGATATTGTCTTTCCATTAATTAAGCAAGTCAAGTTTGCTATCTCAGCTAATTTTGTCATCTTCAGCAATTATTCCTCTTGTGGGTATTTCAAAGTTCATTTTTGGGCATATAATAATAATAAAAATCATAGTAATAATAATCTTGCTTAGTTTTTTGAAGTTGCCAGTCAGTCAGTTACGAGTTGTTGCTTGCCTGGTTTCAAATGACATGATGAAATCAAAAAGATTTTTCATTGTGTCCCAAAGGTGCTTTTCCAAGAAGCAACTGGACTTTCTGGTTTGTTTGTTTTTTGGAAGACATTTCACTTCTCATCTAAGAAGCTTCTTCAGCTCTGAGAAAAAACAAAAGAAAAACCAGAAAGTCCAGTTGCCTCTTGAAAAAGTGCCTTTGGGACAACCATGACCTGGATGACTGAGAATCTCCATAGACATTTTTCATTGTGGTTTGTTAATCCACAATTTATTAAAGGAGTGTCGGGAGAATATCTTTAAAGGAGAAAATGAAGATATAAGTATGTGGAAACATCACAATCAAGCTTCTTTATAGATAGTTAACCTTTCCCAATGGGGTATCTTCCCGATGTAGTGGGTTATAGCTCCCCAATTCACTTGATAGCACCAACTTGGAGGATGGGATTTACCTGTTCGCCAAACCATAAAATTAGCTACCAGTTTACCCTAACCGGGACAAATCAGTAGCAGCCCACCCATTTTGATGTGAACATTTTGTTCCAGTACTCATTATTTGTTTGTACTCAACACACAAGCTACAACTTGTCACTATTAGCTGCCTTGTGACTCATTACATTATTCCTTATGGGAAAAAATTGTTTGGTACTCATTGTTTTTGGTACTCATTGCACCTTCTGAAAGCAATTAATGTGTACCAAGGTACCACTGTACTTACAACTTATTTTTTTCCAAATACTTGTCTACACAGCTTTTTTTAAAAAAGTGTCATCTTAAATTGAAAATTAGCAAGGAGTGCTGAAGAATTAAAGAAAACCCTAATGTCTAGCTGCTAACATCTTTTAAGCCACAAAGTCAGCCTCTGCTTGTTGCAAGCAAACATGCACCTGAATAGTTGTGCTCTGCAGTTTAACCAAAAGTCATGTGTCACAACTTCTGGAAGTGCACCTGCTGTTGATGCTGTATTACTAAGTGGCTACATGTAAAATGCTGATTGTTGGCAAGGCAGTTTTTTATTTCCCTAAAACTATTTTCCCCTCTGTTGATGCCTATTATCATTCAGAGAAGCTACTGATGAGATGTAAAGTTGGTCCTCTTTATAAAGCATAGTTAGTTGTACTAAATCATGATTTGTCTGAATATGGTATAGCGAGTAACCTGTAACTGGACAGATTTGCAGAAAATGCTCAGCAGCAAATCATAGTTTATAAACTATCTGGCTTTTAAATGTGATGCACTAAGCTATCTGGCTTTGGATTAGTGTGCTACAGGAACCCGTCCTAAATTTTGCCATGTCTACTTTATTGCTCTATTATAGGAAAACCAAAATACACATTTTGTGATTAGGGGATAAAAACACAGTACCTATTGGAACAGCAGTTTCTTCAATAATTCATACTACGAAGCCCATGTTGCATAAGACATTTTGGAAAACAAACGATACTGTTCCTAAGCAGAGTTTGAATAATATTGGGTGAAATAACATCTTGAATTGTAAGACTGGTGAAAGGTTAGGACAGAATCATAGTAATGGCCACATGCCTCCTCAATAGCAATTAAACATCTTCTCTTCCTGTACTTAGAGCACTCAACCTTGGCAACTTTAAGATACGTGGACTTCAACTCCCAGAATGCTAGCTGGGAATCCTGGGAATTGAAGTCTATATATATCTTCAAGTTGCTAAAATTGAGAAACAGAGTCCTGTTCCTTAATGACTGCATGGACATGCCCATATAATTTTCTTGCAATGGGATGGAAGTGGTTGCTATGGTGTTCAGTCTTTTAGGTGTTTTTTTTAATCTCAGTCTAAATTAACAGCCGTGCAGTTTCCTGGTGATCCCTGTGAGGTCCAAAGCCACTTAAGCCTTTTCAAAATCAGTCAAGGTTGACTAATCCGATCTTCTGCTGCGATTATTTATCCAAATAGAATTTTGCCATTATTAGTGACATGCAGTTTCTGTTCTCCATATATTGTTTACAGCAAAATACTGTGATTTTTTAAAAAAGATATGCACTGGTGGTATTGATGTAATTTCTGGGTAAGGTGCTCTTAAGTTTCCTGTTCTAAGTAATATAATGTCTCTGTTCAAATGTCACAGTAATGAAAGCTTATTTATTAAATATTTATTATTAAATATTAAAGAGGCTTCAGAGGTTGAAGATTGTTCATTAACCTGGTTGTTTATAAAGAAAAAAGCAAGACAATGATTGCTGGTTTTCCTGCTCAAACGTGATTTAGATTCTTAACTAGTTTTGAGAAGTAGAAATGTTCCTGTGGTTAGATGAGAATAGAAAAAGCTTCCTTGGCTTAAACTGAATCAGCACAAGGTTGCATTCAATGAATTTTTGATACATGTACCAATTGTTATTTCTCTCTATACTGTTCTTCATCTACTTTGTTCCAGAAGCAGAAGATGGGCAGCAATGTAGGACTTAAAGATCTCTTCAACTTACTGCCTTTCTCCTAGTTGAGAATAAAAATCGATTAGCAAAATGGAGTGTGTGAATTTGGGTGTCATTAATAGAATGGAATTCTTCTTTGGCCAAGTGTGATTGAACACATAAGGAATTTGTCTTTGGTGCATATGCTCTCAATGTACATAAAAGAAAAAAATTACATTTGTCAAGAATCATAAGATACAGCACTTAATGATAGTCATAGGTTACTAATTAGCAATCAAATCATACTAAGAAACAAAACAATATAAATTGTAAAGATACAAGTAACACGGTTATAGTCAGAAGTGGGAAAAGATAGGTACTAATAAGGATGAGAGGAATAACAGTAATACAGTCTTAGTAAATAAGTTGACAGCATTGTGGGAATTAGTTGTTTAACAGAGTGATGGCATTCAGGAAAAAAACTCCTTGTGTCTAGTTGTTCTGGTGTGCAGTGTCGTTTTGAGGGTAGAAGTTGAAATAACTAATGTCCAGGATGTGAGGGGTGTATAGATATTTTCACAGCCCTCTTTTTGACTAATGCAATATACAGGTCCTCAATGGAAGGCATGAATAAGTAAAAGGTTCTTTGGGGCTGTCAGCCTTGAATTAATTATGAGCTTATTAGTGACATTAGTGATTGCACAATGTCAATAATAATGACAAAATGCTGTTTGGATAAATAATCCCGACAGAAGGTAGGATTAGTCAACCTTGACAGATTTTGAAAAAGCTTAAGTGAAACAGATACAACAATTGCAGGAACGCTACTTTATTGTGATAAGTTATAACAACAGAATATTGAATGCTTGTCTGCCCCACCTTATACAGGACAAAATCAAGGCAGGGCTATTGTTTTGTCACATGCTTTGCACTTTGCCCAAACTGAGTTACTGTTTCACTACTTTTTGGGTTAATTTCTTCCAAGATGATCTCTACATTCCTTTACCAAAGCCAGTCTAGGCACAATCATTGCCCAGGCTGCTTTACCCACAAGAGTTTTTGTCTTTCTGTTATCTCCATGTTTTACTATATTTTGAAGTATGCTATTTGTACATTAAGGAGGAATATCTTTAGATATAAGATTGCATCAATCTTCACTCTTTTGATAATCTGTGCGTTTACGTGCACTGTGCAAAAGGTCATTAAAAAAAGATCACAATGGGTAAAAGTCTATTTGCATCATCCTTTCCTTAAGGATGAAAGCTGCAGCCATTCTAAAGTTACTAAACACTTCTGATCAGGATAGAAATTAGGATAAGAAGCTGTGAAGTTAAGACTGGAGTCCCATAATTGAAACTGTTGCCTTGGCTATAGATGAAAGGACTAATGTCCAAATGTAGGTGGTGGAATAGAGACTAGACACTAGACCTTGAATTTCTGTTTTTATTCTGCTTTCTTCTCCTTTCTTCTGCTCACTAATCTAGTCCATTTTACATTGGTTCAGATGCCAAACAGATATTACTGAAGCAATAAAATATTCTATTTCTGACTTTCTAGAAATCTGAAAAATAATTCCATTTTAATAACAAACCTTTTCTTTACAATAACAAGAGTTGGAAGGGACCTTAGAGGTCTTCTAGTCCAACCCCTGCTTAGCCAGGAAACCCTACACCATTTTAGACAAATGGTTGTCCAATCTCTTCTTAAAAACTTCCAGTGTTGGAGCATTCACAACTTCTGGAGGCAAGTTGTTCCACTGATTAATTGTTCTAACTGTCAGGAAATTTCTCCTTAGTTCTAGGTTGCTTCTCTCCTTGATTATTTTCCAGTCACTGGGGAACAAAAATTAATTGCCAATCATACATCTTTTTAATATTTTGATTAAAAGGATCCTTCTACCTTCTAGCTTTCTGCATATGCCAGGCTCAAACACCCTAGATGAAATGGAACGAACCGTGATGATCTCCAATAAATATAATTGAAGTTATTTTTTTTCTGATCAAAAGCCTAAGCAGTACTTTAAATAATTAACCTAGAATGAAATCCATTAAAATCAGTACCCATTTGATTTGAAGTTTTATTTTAAAAAGCTCAGTCTCACTCCCACAGAGAACACAGATTTTTTTTCCTGCAATTTATGATCAAAATAGGCAACATTTCAGCAATGTTCTAAAAAAAGTCAACAAGTGCATTAATACCGTAAAGAAAAATCATTTGAATACAAATTACAATTTTCTTTCTGTTCTGAACAATGTTAGATAAATGGGAAAAGTAAAACAAGAACTACTCCATTCCTAAGCCACTTTCAAATCATGACATCTTGCCAGATGCAGGATATAGATTATGAAAGACACATATGCAGATCATGACTGACAGTCAAGGCTGAATGTCAAACAGATAAAAATAACTCAAGCAGACAGTGCAGCCACCTCCCTTCAAAATGGAAAGAGAAAATATTACAGAAACTTTCTGGGTATTTATTAAATACAAATCAGTCAGAACTCTTTTAATCTTTAATTCAAGGTAGTAGTTCCAAAAAAGAAAAGAAAAAAAAATGAACAAGCCATCATGTTGCTCTTTCTCCTTTCCTTATAATAATAGCCACATCAAGGAAAGTGCTATAAAGGCACTTTGACATCACTTCTCAGTGCTCACTATTAGGCTGCGATTAAAAGACTGTTCTGCTTAAACAATGTAGACAACGATTAAATACTGAAACATGATAGGGGCATCTCAGCATCTACTTGTTTTCTATGGAAAAAGCTTCTGAATGTCATTTCCTATGTTTCCAGCCAAATGTAAACCCCAAAGAGTAAAAGAAAAATTATTGGACTTTCTGGGACCAAGGAGTATTGTGTTGAATTAAATTAGCATTCAATCTTTTTAGAAAGACTCAAGACTTGTGCTATTAAGCTTATTAAATAATTCCAAACACCTCTAGGGTGGTTTTTTAATGTAGAAAATATGCTGAGTGTCCCTTTCCTTATAAATATATATCAGTCTGATCTTACAGTACCACACAAATGAATAAGTCCTTTTATAACAACTTCTATAGAATTAGAAAAGGACAGCTCAGTTGTCATAATTACTGTACATCAAGTTTCACTTTGACATTAATAGCAGCCAATTCTGCCACAAAGCAGCGGAAGACATAAGGGACAGCAATTGTTTCAATGGTGCTACTTTGGTCACAAGAGGCACAAACGTATTGCCGGGGACGAGTGGTGGACCAGGCTGGTGGAGCTTTCAGGAGAGGTGAGAGGAGACTACCACAGTCAACACAAACGTGGGCCACTGAACGATCTGAGCAATTGAAGAGGCGATCGTGCAGCAAAAAGGACGTGCCATGAGCCAACAGAGCATCCCGCTCCATCTCTCCAAAGCGGATGCCGCCCTGAACGTTCCTTCCTCCAATGGGCTGGTTGGTGACTTTATCGCGGGCCCCTGTAGTCCTCACCTGAAATTTGTCAGAGACCATGTGCCTCAGGCGCTGATAGTACACAAGACCAATAAAAATGTCTGCTTCTAGCTCTACTCCAGAAACCCCACTGTACATCCTCTCCGTCCCATAGTAATTATAGCCGGCAGCCTTCAGCAGCTTGCCAAAGTATTCCACAGCGGAATTCTCTTCAGAAAACGTAAATGGGGTTGCATCATGACAGAATCCATGAAGTGAGGCAGATTTTCCTGCCATGCTCTCAATCAGCATGCCAATGGTCATTCTGGATGGAAAACCATGAGGATTGAAGAGGATATCCGGCACCATTCCACTTTCGGTAAAGGGCATGTCTTCAGCTGGCCACAATCGGCTCAAGATGCCTTTCTGCCCATGACGGCTGGCAAATTTGTCTCCAATTGTTGGATTCCGGGGGACTCTGAAAGTGATGCATACACACTTGAATCTTCCAGTTCCAGTATCATTGCTGCACACCTTGATGTTATCTACAATATAAGTTTCCTTATTCCTGGAAACAAAGGAGGAAAGAGTTTAATTATTACCAGAAGAGCTCCTGAAGGGAATTTCCAACATACTTTGGGGGGAAATAAGTACTTGCATAGAGACCACACAGGAGAAGATAACCATGCAAATGCTATACATACAAAGAAATGCCAATTCTCTCAATATAATAGCATTCTGAATCTTAATTGTAATTGGGTTGTTCTGCATACAGAAGGAAGTGTTTGTAGAAAAGGAACATTATTTATGCCCATAAAGTCTGTAGTTTAATATTAGAGTATGCATTTTGGAAGTCAAAAAGTTATGGGTCCAATTGTTTGACTTTCAATTCAAAAGATTCATATCTCTTGAAAGTGCCTTCACCTATGACTCTACAAAGCTTCTGTCATCTGCTAACACAGATCAGACTGAGACAGCTGGACACACAATCTAACATTGTGGATAACAGTTGACAATACAATTTCCAAAAAAATCATCTGGACTTTGATGTGCAGGCACCAGGAAATATGCCATGAATTTAAAAATGCTCCCACCTAATTTTTCTCCCTTTTCATTACAGTTACAGTGGCATGATCATATCCAAGAGATTAACGGTCAAATATGCTGCCAACTACATAACAGCTTCCTGTTTCTTACCTCAGACTCAGGCAATTCTTAATCAGACCTAGTCATGTTTTGCCCACAAACAGTGTTTTTACATGCATAAAATTAAAACACTGAAAGTACTTTTAACAAGCTGCTGAGGACTTTTAAAGTTGGTTGAGGTACTACATTCAATACAGATTTACAAAGTGATAGTGAAAACAGAAAAAAAACTCCCTCCAAGTCATAAACAACTGTTTTCATGTGGTGGACATGAGTTTTACTATATATAATTACTTGTGACACACAGAAAGAAGAAAAATATTGTTTTCCTTTCTCCCCTTATAAATATAAAAGTTGGGATCACCAAATAAAATTGAAAAGTAGATTCTAGGGAATTGGACAAAATATTATTTTTGAACATAGACTACAAAGCTAATATGTGGATTTCCTTGATGCTTGCTGGAGAATAGCAATTTAGATATCCACAAATGGGGATTAAATTAATTCACTAATTTTATTATTTGCTACTGGCATTCACAGCTACACACCACCACCACATCCAGAGGCAATACACCACTAAAATAACCTGGTGGGGAAGAAGAGAAGGGCCCTTTTCCTATCAAGAGTCTTCCATTCATTTTCTTTTGCTTCAATAGTAAAAATATCCGCATGATCTGAAAGGAAGCAAGTCAACAAAGGTCTTGCAACCATGAGAAGTTAGTGAGAGGAGAGGGAGGGAAAAAAAAATGCTTGTAGAAAATGAGAACCCGACTTTCCTAAGTTTGCTTACTCAACATCATTGGAAAAATCAGTGACAACTTGCACATTCCAGAGGAAACAGTTTCATAACTCTCACATTTTCTTCTATAGACAATATTTTTGAGTTGGTTAGATAGGCAAGCTACCTGTTAGGGATCAATGGCTATTAACTTTGATAGTAATGTGACTGCCTCTGAACGTCATCTGCTTGGAGACAAGCAAACTATCTTGTACAGTTGATGGAGCACTATAAGACTCTGGATTGTGCCAAGGATCTGTTCGAACAGGGCCATACTTGTGTTATTATGCTATGGTACCCAAACAATTGAGAGAACTGCAAAAAGCACTTTCCAGTTTTCTATTGTAAACAACGTTGATACATCAACAACCAGCACTTACTTATGGTAGGTCACAAAGCTTTCCCCTGTGTTGAGATTCACATAGCTATAGTAAGGATCTCCATATTGAAGTATAGCTCCAATATGGGGCAGGCCATCAGGGTCCAAACTCTGCACAGGTTTATCATGCCCAATCCCAAACACTAGATTGTCTTCTCCTTGTTTTACTTTTTCTCCAAGATCAATACGTTCTGTCTTGTAGATGCTGCCATGTGCAAATCCCCTCTCCCAAGATGACTTGCTCAGGATCTAAGGAGATACAAGTTCACACTGAGTAAAAGAGTCAATGCCTTTATTAATGTAAATGACCCTGTTTCCCACATTATGGAAATACAATAATAGTTACTTTCAGATTTCCCCACTTTCTATAAAACCTAACCCACTTCCAGATGTGTTGGGTACTACTTACAGCAGGGGAAGGGTGCAGTGGCACTACACACCAAAGGGGTGCTACTTTGGAGCTACTGGTGTTTGGGGAAGAGCTGCTTGGATTTCACAGTGCCTGAAATTTCTATCCCACCCTCAAAAGATATCCCAAGCAACAGGCCTGACTCGAATGGGGATAGGCAGAACTTCATTGTTTTAGATTAAGCTTAAACAAAAAGTTAACATTAACATTCCCAAGCAAAATATAAATCGTCGTTTTTGAATTTTAAAATCACCTCTTAACCTCTGGTATGTTATAGTGAATGTAGATGATCTTTTTTTAAGCAATGATGCTCATGTATGCAACTCCTTTTAAGAAAATTCTTGTTAGATGCTTTCTAAAAAGAATGACTTTTTGTTCCCACTAGATGAGGTAGAAATATTTTCACCACAGAGATTAAGACCATTACAGGTAGTCCTCAGTTTAGGATCACAATTGAGTGCAACATTTTTGTTACTAAGTGGGATATTTGTTAAGTGAGTTTTGTCCCATTTTACAACCTTTTGCCAATTGTTAAATGAATCACCACAGTTGTTAAGTTAATAACATGGTTGTGAAGTAAATCTGGCTTCCCCATTAATTTTTGCTTGTCAGAAGGTTACTAACGGTGATCACATGACTCCAGGACACTAAAACCATCATAAATATGAGTCAGTTGTCTGAATTTTGACCATGTGACCATGGGGATGCTGTTGTAAGTTGAGGACTACCTGTATTTGGAAAATCAAGTTTATCATATTTCATGTGATTTTCACAAGTACAGAAAGAAAAATACCCTGAAAATTTCCTTCTATTCATATCCATTTTACTATGGCCTTACCATTGCATCTTCCATATCGTAACCACTATAGGAGATCACAGCAACAACGGCATTTGTTCCAATGGGATAAGAGTCCATATTGTAATAATCATATATGGATGGCCGAACTAATGGGCTTTGAGGAGTCTGAAGCCGGTATAGTTTGTCATCAGATCGATACGGGAAGGTGAGAAGTGGAAAACCCATTGTCTGCTTACCTGGGAGACACAAGTGGGGATAGAAGACGGAAGGAGAGGGGAAAAAAAACCCCAGAATTTTTTTCCAACCTACAGTTGGAAAAGGTATTCAAGATATATATTGCAACTTTCATTAAGGAAATGGCCATAAACTGGTGGCAAAAGTCATGTTTTCACACTTAAAATGATAACAGTCTACCATTAATAGGCAATTGGCTATGGAATAAGATTCCCTCTGTTTCAGACCACAGACTTTTTGCTAATCAGAAGAGACAGGAATAAAGGTACAAATATTCTGCCCTGGTAGAAAGTCCTTTCCTTTCCTTTCCATCTTCCCTTCCCTTCCTTTCCTTTTCCTCCTTCCTCTTTCCTTTCATGTTTAAGAACTATTCTGTTCAGTGAGCAATCCAAATTTCACAGCTCAGGTTTCTTCCTTCTCGGCCACTGAACATTTAATCCCTTCTTCTGCTTTCTAATAATATACTCAATGTATCTTCAGTGTTACATCTCCAATATGTAAAAATAAAATTGGCATGGATTAATCTTCTTGTCTGCTTCATACTAACCCTGCAGGTAGCACATGAGAGAAGCTCTACAAACATGTCTACAACATTGCCAGGCTGGCCAATCATAATGTCTGGATCCCATTTTCTAGTCTAGTGAAAATGTTTCTAATTTTAAGGAGATTAAATAACAAATCTAGTACACATACAGGAGGTACACACATCCAAACTGGTCCAAATTCTTATTTCCAGAGTGGCAGAGCCAGAACAACCACTACAACAACAAAAGGACAAGTATCTGCAATCAGACATAAGAGAAAAGCCCCTTGCTGATCCTTGTTTTTCTAAAAAAAATAGGTATGGAATCCAAGGATAGAAGAGATTCTCTATCTCAACTCTTTTGTTTTCCCCCTCAGTGAAAAAAATGGCTTCTCTGTTTCCCTTAAAGAATATATGTTAACACCCCCCCCCCCCCAAAGCATGTCTCAAGTTTCTAGTTATAATGTGAGTCCTAACCTAAGAATCCTCTCAGTCTGCAAATCCTGAGGTGCTCTGTGGTTTATCAAGGAGCTCAGGAAGATAAAGTAGAAAGCCTCTGCAATAGAGGCAAAATGAATGTGGCATTTTCGAGGACACAAGGTCAGCAGAGTCTCTACTGCATAAAATACTCCTATTTATAGTAATTAATGTCACTTTTTTCTAAGATTCTCTATTCTGTTCATGCTGCCAATAGTCTATCTCTTCCCCTCATTTTTTAATGCTCAGCACGTTCCAGGTTTTTCTTGGATATTCCTAATTTGTATTCTATTCCTTTTTAAAATACTATAGTTGTGCAAAATGGAAGTCCTTGGAAATCTTGTTGGTAACTCCTGCACAGGTGTAGTCATTTCTTGTCAGGAAATAACTAGTCAGGCAAAGGGGAGGCCTCTAGTGTGGATTTAGTTTTGAGTCCTTGTGCAACCACAATAGGTCCAGCTGGGACACCCACTCACCCCTTTAAATTCCATAGAACTTTATCTATCTGTTCCCAGGCTAAGGCTGGAAGTCTGGAATAGGCAGAATATAACAAATTGGTGAGCTTGAACCTTTCATCTGTAGGTCTGGTTGTTTCTGCCTGCTTGATTACAAAGATGCATACTATGAAAATAATTGAATTATTTAGTATAATTAGAAAACAGTAAAGACTTACCCATCTGACACTGGTACATGTTTCTTGGACTTTGATTGTGATCAGAGAAAGGAATGAAACATGCCACCACGCTTAGCATGCTATAGGGAAAAAGCTCCTGATGAGTGGTCAACCCAGGTTGAATTTCATCCTTGGACACGGCAATGTTCATGAATACCTAAGGAAAACCCGGTTTCCATGACTTTCAAAAGCTATCAAATCCACTGAACTGCTCCCAGTTATTATTACAAGAATAATCATTCTGAAAAACTAATCCATTAAAGCAGGGGTCCCCAAACTTGGCAACTTTAAGACTTGTGTCTTAAATTTGCCAAGCTTGGAGACTTCTGCATTAAAAGCTTTAGCAGCCCACTTCAGAAAAATTCGATCTTAATATGCAATATCCAGAAGGCCATTGTTTTCAATGCTCTTGATATTAGAGTTTATCATAATGTTCATGATAAACCTCATATTTTTCTTCCTAAAAATACATCTACCCAAGTTAAAATATCTGATATTTAGACTGACAAAATTATAAAAGGCAGCAACCAAAATGAATGGTCTTAGATATGCAGCCAATTGGACAAAATTCAAAGGTCTTATTAATGATCTTTGTTATCGACTGCAATTCTGTAAGATAAACTGTAAGATAAACACCGGGCACTGCTCAATATTATACATACTGACCCAACTCCCCAGGGGTTCAAATGACTGTACTTTTTCAACCTGAATGAATAATTGAGGAGGGAAGGGGACACAAGCAAAACATGCTTTATTCTTGAGCTAGTGATATTTGGAAACATAGAAATCCAAAACGGAGCACAATGGTCTGTTACTTATCATTTAAGATGGACACTTGTTAATCTTAAGAAAAAGGGTTCAGCTCCATCAGGGGTCTCCAACCTTGGCAACTTTAAGACTTGTGGACTTCAACTCCCAGAGTTCCTCAGCCAGCTTTGCTGGCTGAGGAACTCTGGGAGTTGAAGTCCAC